TCCGTCGTTTGGAACCTGGCATTGCAGTTACATGTAGTTATGTATACCAGAATTTTAAATAATAAAGTGGTAATAAGTAATTGAAATATTAAATAATAATTCGATCAAATTTAAGAGTTTAATCAAGTTTTAGTTAATTTATTTATTTATAGGCTCACCCCCTATTACATGGGACTCGTAACATAAATAGTGAAAAGTGGGTGTTACTTCTGTATGCACCTTTGCCTAGGCGTGATGTTATGTTATGTTATTTATTTGAAGATCTGATTTATCAAAAAAGTGCTTTAAAATGGCTCTTAAAACTACATAATACGGTTTAATTTTTGTAACATGATATTGCAGTTAAATCGTAGACATCCAATTTTGTTGAAACTAAAAACATATTAGCCTTCTTCTATCTTTATAGCAATACGAAGAAAAGTTGCTTTTTGCATTACCTAGTGTTATGTCTGAAATGAAAATCTAGATTTAGATTTCAAACAAGTAATTTTTGCATAAAAATTATTCTTATGTTAAACTATATTCTGCCAAGCGTGACGTTTCGTTTGATATCCATAATGGAGGTAGTTGTGGAAAAAATTAGATTAAGTGTAATTTTGTATGGTCATCAAGATTAGGAGTGTGTACCAAAAAACAGATTATTAATCTTTCGCCAGGAAATTCCAATTACTAATTTTGACCTAAACAAACAAATGGGTCAAGTTAAATAAAAACGAAAATATAATATATAAACACAAAAAAATCATTTCTCAGTTGAATATAGGCCCCAATGACCAGTTATTATTTCTAGTAGGTTGGTATATATAAGGATATTTTATCGTATTCAAATTAAAAAAAAAACTACCTCGTTGGCCGAGTGGTTGCAATTGCGATTGCCGGGCAAGGGATCACGGGTTCGATTCCCGAGTCGGGCTAAGTACTACAGGGCTTTTTCAAAAAATCTCAGTAGTAGCACGGAGTGTGGAATTGTGCCCGGTATATAACAATAGCCTCACCCCCTATTACATGGGACTCATAACATAAATAGTGAAAAGTGGGTGTTACATTGTGCATTAAGTGCCGTAATGAACACCTCTGCCTACCCCTTCGGGGATAAAAGGCTTGATGTTATGTTATGTTATGTTAAAATAGTGTAATATGATTAGAGATATCAATGCATTTAAGACAAATCCGACCTAATTCATAAAAGTATCGAGTGTGTCTTCTTCATTCCATTAGCAGAGTATGAAAGTGTCAATTAACTTACAAAATAAAAATAATTAACATTATTACAATCATTACTTACCATTCAAATACTTCAGATATTAATAATGACTCGTAAAATAGTTTTCTGTTTATATTAAGTTCATACATAATAGAAAATTATTTGTTCTGTGACACTACTAGATGGCGCCACCAGTACATTCAAGGAAAATGCTTCGTCTGTCATCATGAGACATTTTTTATCGAAAATAAATAAAATATGTATCAAAACCATAACCAAAAAGTTTGTTTGAGTAAAGTATTATTGTTATTTATAAGACTTTTCGAAACTTATCAATTTGTACGTAATATGGATTTGTGCCTGGCGTCTGGCGTATAGCAATTGGCCAACCCCCTATTACATGTGACTCATAATATAATATGACTGGTATAAAGTGGGTGTTACATTATAAATGCGTGATGCATATTTACTTACCCTTTCGGCAATTAAATGGCGCAACGTTAGATGTTAATGTTACACTACACATATTTGAAAGTACATTAATAATGATACTACGAATCAACGATTAACATACAATTATAAATGACCGAAATAATATAATTTCCATTTCTTTAGTACGAATAAAATTTTTAAAATATATTCCAATACATACTTATGTTTCCTAAATGAGTTTCACAGGCAGGTATAGCATAACATATTTATTTGTATGCGCACATATATTTGTATGCGACTGTTTCGTTGACCGAGTGGTCGTAAGTGCGACTGCCGGGCAAGGGGTCTCGGGTTCGATACCCGGGACGGGCAAAGTAGTACTGGGTTTAAAAAAATCTTAGTAGTAGCATGGAGTCTGAAAATGTGCCCAGTATATGGCGATAGGCTCACCCCCTATTACATGGGACTCATAACATAAATAGTGAAAAGTGGGTGTCATTTCTGTGTGCACCTCTGCCTACCCCTTCGGGGATTAAAGGCGTGATGTTATGTTATGTTATGTGTTGAATGCGCACAATATAATTTAATTTTGTGGATTTTTTTTCATAGGAATTTTGCGCCATTTAATTGCCGAAAGGGTAAGTAAATATGCATCACGCATTTATAATGTAACACCCACTTTATACCAGTCATATTATATTATGAGTCACATGTAATAGGGGGTTGGCCAATTGCTATACGCCAGACGCCAGGCACAAATCCATATTACGTACAAATTGATAAGTTTCGAAAAGTCTTATAAATAACAATAATACTTTACTCAAACAAACTTTTTGGTTATGGTTTTGATACATATTTTATTTATTTTCGATAAAAAATGTCTCATGATGACAGACGAAGCATTTTCCTTGAATGTACTGGTGGCGCCATCTAGTAGTGTCACAGAACAAATAATTTTCTATTATGTATGAACTTAATATAAACAGAAAACTATTTTACGAGTCATTATTAATATCTGAAGTATTTGAATGGTAAGTAATGATTGTAATAATGTTAATTATTTTTATTTTGTAAGTTAATTGACACTTTCATACTCTGCTAATGGAATGAAGAAGACACACTCGATACTTTTATGAATTAGGTCGGATTTGTCTTAAATGCATTGATATCTCTAATCATATTACACTATTTTAACATAACATAACATAACATCACGCCTTTTATCCCCGAAGGGACAGAAGTGTTCATAACGGCACTTAATGCCACTGTACAATGTAACATCCACTTTTCACTATTTATGTTATGAGTCCCATAGAGGGTGAGACTATTGCCATATACCGGGCACAATTCCAGACTCCGTTCTACTACTGAGATTTTTTGAAAAAGCCCTGTAATACTTTGCCCGACCCGGGAATCGAACCCGTGATCCCTTGCCCGGCAGTCGTAATTGCGACCACTCGGCCTACGAGACAGTTTTTTTTTATTTGGATACGATAAAATATACTTATATTGACCAACCTACTAGATGAATATACAAAATTTGTAATCTATTTTTTTCTCAACTACTTCCATTATGGATATCAAACGAAACGTCACGCTTGGCAGAATATAATTTAATATAAGAATAATTTTTATGCAAAAATTACTTGTTTGAAATCTAAATCTAGATTTTCATTTCAGACATAACACTAGGTAATGCAAAAAGCAACTTTTCTTCGTATTGCTATAAAGATAGAAGAAGGCTAATATGTTTTTAGTTTAAACAAAATTAGATGTCTACGATTTAACTGCAATATAATGTAAAAGTAAACTGTATTATGTAGTTTTTACTGATGTCATTTGACTTACCTCGTGATTATATGTAAAACAATGTTTAAATAATGGGCATTCCAAAAAATTGCCTCAGTAGCTAAATCCTCAGGTGGCGGTGTTGGTAACGCCTTAGAAGGCGTCACACAGAGTATCATAGGGCAAATCCAATAAAATTTTCGTCATGAAGAAATTTTCTTTCATTTATATGACTGCACGCTTCGATTCCTGGATTAAGTACCTAATTTAGATTTAGATTGTAATCTCATTGAATTGTTTGATTTGTGTATTTCTATAGAATAAATTATAGAAGTATTTCTAATTTCAAAATTCTCAGTAATAGCTCGATAACTGGATATATACAGTTGTTCTTTGAGATTATGTTCGCCCCCTTAAAACAATTGGGACTAATAATGTAGAGAAGTGGGTGTATCATAAGTATCACCTACGCGAGGTCGGCGAAGCGTCTATTGTTTATTTTTCAGCTACTTATATCTAAGTATGTACAGGATGTACGTGTCTAGGGTGTTATGGGGGCTACTACAGTTTTTGTTCACCAGATGGTGCTAGTGTGATCCTCTAGTTTTTCATCCAATAGGGAATTAGCTAGTGTTACACCATTTGACGGTTATATTTGGCAGCTGCAGTGATTGGACAAAAACAATTCTGAAAATATGATTGACATTTTTAAAGATGACTGAAAATATGGTAGTTCCAATTATTGAACTTATTGGTAGTTTATGCAAAGTTGTATTTAAAATATTATCCATTATCTACTCTTAAATTTAAAAGAAACCTCTAAGCTAACTTTGGTGACATTTAACATAATTTTGTTCAAACAAGTTTTATTTGTTCTACGGGTTATTATAGGCGCTCCCTTGAATTCAAAGATTTCCTACTTCCTTGATTTGAGCAGTATATTATAAGTTATGTATTTCTTAAAGCATTTTTATCTTCCGTACTGACCCTTGAATGTTACCAAATGTTACCAGTGCAACTGTAATTAACCCATGAATGTTACCCCTCCAAAGCAAATTATAAAAACACGGGCACATTTGCATAGCTTAAAATATTCCCATTTATATTCCCCACTGTGACCAATATCACATTCAATATTGCTTTGAATAAAAAGTAATACAAGGCTTTATGTGAAGAGCTCCATTTTGTACAGGTAATATCATTACTTCAGCGTGGGTACAGACGAGAATAAAATACTTATTACTTATACCAAAGGCAATCTATGTCTGCGTCATACCGTTAAAACAATATTTTTATAACAATATTGTGGCAACACTCTTTGATGTCTTTGATGACAAAAATAAATAATTTTTGATTTAGAATTTTTGTTTTGTCTCAACATCCTCAAAGGGCGGGATAACTAGGCCAGGCTGCACGAATATAAATTGTGAAATTAATTTAAGATAATATGAGTTTAAGAACTTCTCACAGTGTTTTGTTTAAATGACCAATCACAGACTGAAATCAAGGTTTGTTAAAATGAACACATTACATAATTAGGTACGCATATTGAATGTGGTAATCAAACAACACAAGTACGAATATTGATTGTAAAATTATTCTATTAACTCTTTAATAAATAGAAAACAGGGCGATACATAGCATTTCATTTCAATCTATTCAAATATAAAATAGACATCAGCTTCGATGACTGTACATAGGCAAATGCAGGATCACACATTCTAGCAAACTTATCTATCTCGTAACGAAGAGAACTCACTGTGTCCTAAAACAAGCAGTTTTAGAGCCAAGAGTGATGAGAGCGTAACAAGATAGCTACGTTTGTTTAAAAAGTGACTTGCTTCTTTTCCCTTTCGGATCTGATGGTGACCTTGGAGGCGGCGACAGTCGTATCGGCGGCTTCAGTGTCGGCGACGAGGGCTCGCAGGCGAGCGGCGCGCTTTTCTCTCATGGCAGTCCTTTCGCTCAGTTCGTTCATCTCGTCCTCCAGGTCATTTAAACGCGCTCTTGTCACTTTTGCTCGCTGTGCGGCCGCAGTCTCGTCGTCGGATTTAAGTGCTGTCCATTTTGTTAGCGAGTTCTCTTCATTTAATCTGCGCGCGATGCGTTTCTCTGTGCGTTCCTCGTTCTCCTGCAGGGCTCTCCTGGCGCCGCTGACTTCCGATTGGCCGATGCCTACGCTTTCAAGGATTTTGTCAGAGATCCTCATACGGTTTTCCAGGTTAGCAACGTTGCTCTCGAAGTCAATGTCCTCAGCGAAGCGGGATGTTTTTTTGCCAGCACGCAGGCGCTTCAGGGATTCTGCGATCTGAAATGATATAACAAACAATGTTAGTTTATTGTATGATATAAAAGTTTTAATATAAACCTCGCCGCTTGATATATGTGTTGTACGTGACAAGGAAATCGATGCCTGAATAAAAAAAAACTGAAACCTAATGTTTGTACTTTGCTTTTTAATTTTACATCAAGGTTACGAGTATTTTTTTAACAAAACGTTCTTAATCTTATTTCGATTAAATTGAATTGAGATCTGAGTTTATTTTTCATTTCGTAATTCCATTATAAACCATTTTGATTGAGGCAGGCAATAAAAATCTGTTTGGGTTTCAAGTGGCTCATGTCATTTGGTTTGGCAGTTCTATCATCTGTAGTGGTTGCCGATCTATTTCTGTCGGCTATCTGCGAGCAGTCATGTAGGTAACGGTGTCTCTACTCATTGTTAAATTTAACACTGGGATATAAATTAACGAAACAGATTTTCCAATGTCTTGAATTACAATGAAATAACAAATATTTTAAGATTTAATGAGAACTATCTAAAAAGCGTGTTTACTAGTGAATTTTACCCTATTAGTATAGTAGTGGGTATGTTCGAAAAATAGTTATTTACTTATCAGTTTGTATATGTAAAAAAGGTAATTGAAGTATAAGCATATTATAACAAATTGTATTCGAGAATATCAAATATTATTAAATCAAACTAACCGATTTATTGGCCGATTATACAGAAGCCGATAGGATAGACACAAACAGACAAGGCGTGAACCAATTGAAATCAAAGGTAGTACCTATCAGCTAATATTTAACTCATGTAACACTAATAAAATTATGTAATAGAAGTATCCTTACTAATATTATAAATCGGAAAGTGAGTTTGTTTGTTTGTCCGCTTTCACGCTGTAACTACTAAACCGATTGCTTTGAATTTTTGCAGACGTAAAGTTAGAAGTCCGGATTAAATAATCTGGTACTTCTTAGGTACTTCTTCTTGGGTACTTCTTATCCCGGAAAAATTTGACATTCCCGAGGGAAAACAAAAGTATTGGTATAGATGGCGCTGTGTGTATTGGTATATGTCACATAGGCTACTTTTTATCATTTTGTGACGCGAGCGAAGCCGTGGGTAAAAGCTAGTTATATCATAAAAGTACTTCGCTTAAAGAAACCACTTTTAGCTAAAGTTGTAATCTAAGAACGAGTACAGGTAATATTTTCTTGATTCATTGCTACAAGAAAATTTGCTAGACAGATATTACTAGCATCTTATCTTAATTAAAATACGTACTTAACGAGGTATTAAGTTAATTACCTTTCGATATCTATCAACAATTATTTTAATACCGCTTATTTACTTACATATTAACTAGATTGCTACATTTAAGTATCTTAATCTAGTGTATAGTTACTACGGTTTCATCCGTTGCTCGGCTTCTATTTACTGTGATGTTTTTATTTTGGGGCTAAGGTCTTCCTCGATAAATTGGTGATTGAATACAAAAAGAAAAATTCAAATAAGAAAAGTATTAAATGAATTATTATGTTTTCGGCTTTCTCACGTAATAATTTGATGAGGAATTCGACCTGTTTCGAGCCATGCTAGAGGCTCATATTCATGAAACTAGTCGAGTTCCTCGTCTCACGAAAATTACAATACAAATATGGAAAAGTACTTCAAAAGATAAGCATGTTTAAAAAAACTAACGAACTTTTCAGCTTTATATGATAAAATAAAATAAAGTATAAAATCAGTAGCACTCTTAAGGGACGCCAGATAGAAAAATTTCGCCGTAGTCTAAGTACACATATAATATCAATATGCATTACGACAGCGTCGCTAACCATATAGGAAATTGTTCGATTGTACCAGCATATTCGAAGAGCTCCTCCTTGAAATGATTGGTTTTGCATTCGAAACTAGCATAGCAACATTGCATCACCACTTCACGCTGTTTTTCATTATTTTCCGAGAGGACGGTAGGTACTTCCCTGTTCGCGCCAGGTCATTCAAGTAGCATAATAGCCGCAAAGCTACAAAAATATTTTCTAGGTTCTTTATTACATGGGAATCAAATGTAAGCAAAAGTAGGTCTGCCTACGCATCTCCGTCAATTTAATTGAATAAGTATATGTTTGATGTTTTAAAGATATTACAGTGTCAATTTAGGGTGTCACAGACCTAGCTATAATATATATAGCTATACTATAGCAAAGTATAGCAAATATTATCACATAATTATTTTCAATACACATTTTAAAGAACCACGCAAATATATCCACGAAATATATTTTAGTATATTAATTTATTTAAATCGACACGATCGCAGACCGATAATGTACATTAAAGTATTAGTTCTCGTGTGTCATAGCTAGCTATGCTATGATATATAGCTCAGTATATAAAAATATGTCACAGCTAGGTCTATAACAGCATTAATACTGAACACGTTCAGGTCGTAAAGACAGACTAGTCTGACTAGTCAGTGCATTTTTATGGATCTATCAATCAAATCTTGTTTTTATGTCTATCAAAGGTCGCGAGATTTAATGACTCCTATTTTCATGAAATAGTCTTCAAAGAAAAAGGAGTTTGATTGGTCTTGTATAATTTTAATTGGTCTTGCTCTTATATAATCAGAGATAGAGTCGTGGTGGCCCGGGGGTTTCAGACACCTGGATCTCATGCAAGAGAGTGTGGTTTTAAGACTACCAACAGCAAGATTATTTGGACACTATTGACAAACGGCGAAGGAAAACATCGTGAGGAAACCTAAGCTTATAATTTCAAATTATAAGTTTGAAATTGCCGACCCTCATTGAACAGGCGTGGCGATTAATGCTCATACTTTCTCCGTGCGAGAGGCCTTTGGTCAGCAGTGGCCACTTATAGGCTGTTGATGTCGTTGTTGATAAATTAGATGATTTTTTTTTACAAAATAATGTTTGTATTAATACATTTTAAGTAAATCATTTAGTATATCTTAAGGTATATTTGTATCGAATATTTTTGAATCCTGAGGGTTTGAGGGACAATATCATTTGATATAATATAGAGATAAGTTAACTTACCAATTCATGACAAGCTTTGTAATAGACAATATAGGTAGTATAATAATAATAATCATAACTAATTATATCACAAATCTAGAACAAAATTGTTAAAATACTCAGTGATCAGAAACGTCGACAATTTCATTTAAAATGAACATGTTACAAGCTCAGACGAAAATATTTGCGTTCGAGTATCAGTGCTAAACTAATTGAATTTAGAGTGGAACCCTTCGCGACACTGTTCGAGAACCAAACCGCAATTGTCGATGGTCCGGGCTTTGTAACAGACCACTCTAATCCCAAGTACCTATGTATGCAACGTGCAAATTAAACTACCATGTGTAACTGCTTTTATGAACGAATTGACTAGTAATTGCGTTATTTTTTTTAGTATCAAAAATTGTAGAAAATATTGTAAGTAGTAGGTATTGAAAATTGATGATTTGTTATATCAATTACAAGGTTGAGAGATGATATAATTAAAGTTCAAATGGGTTAAAAGAATCATCATCACCAAAACCACTTCATATTGTAGAACAAAGTCGCATTTCGCCGTCTGTGTGTCCGTATGCTTTTTTTTAAGGGGGGAAATCATCGAATGTCTGGTCCCGCCTGGGTGAGGCAGGACCGAGTGCCAGACTCTTACTGACTAAAAACCACCCCGTTCCTTCTCCTGTACTTCGAGCCACATTTTGACGAGTTTTTTAATCGATGGAGTGATTCAAGAGGAAGGTTTATGTGAATAATAACTTTGAATTTAAACAATGCATGCAAAGCTGAGGGTAAAAGCTAGTTGATGATAAAAACAAGAGGTTAGATAACTCACGCAGTTAATAAAGTTTATAATAATGGAATATTACTAATACCTATTTGTTTCCTTTTTGTCCTTTAAACTGTTGAATACAGTTTTAGATTTACTATAAAAGGTAAAAAGATTAGTTATTCAACGTTAATCCAAACACAGTTAAGTTTTCAGGTCAGGATTTTATTCAAGAATTCCATCAGTCTCTATTACCCATGTTATTAAAAATCAAAATATAACGCCGTGATTTTAAAAATACAGCTAGAACGTTTGAATGTTTTTTTTTTTATTTTAAGGGAGGAGATGGTCAGTAGTTCTCTTTAACATATTACTGTAATAACTTTCACGAGAGTACAGGTAATATATTTATAGTGTTAGCCTTCATGGTTAGTACTGTAGTTGGGAGAGGAAACGGACTTGTTTCCGAATGAGTGCATGATTTAGTGTTATTGAAATATCCTACGAATATCTAGACTACGGTAAAATTGGGACATAAATGTCAAACATTAATGTCTGTATCTCGTGGTGGCTCGGAGGCTTAAGACGCCCGCTTCTCACGCATGAGGGCGCGGGTTTGAAACCTACCAACGGCAAGTACCAATGTGACTTTATCCGAGTTACATGTACTTTCTAAGATTCTTTAGACACCACTGACAAATGGTAAAAGAAAACATAGTGAGGAAACCTGGGCTTATAATTTCTAATTATAAGTTTGTAATCGCCAACCCGCATTGAGCAAGCGTGGTGATTAATGCTTAAGCCTTCTCCGTGTGAAAAGAGGCCTTTCGTCAGCAGTGGCCACCTATAGGCTATTGATGAATGTCTATACTGTTCACACTTATACGGATCAAGCTGGCGGCTGATGTGACACTAATTATTATCGTGTTACAATACATTTTCCAATTACAGGCACACGTTTTCATTTGATTTATGCACTGAGTATTAGTGTACCTATAGTGTTGTAGTCTAATCATACCTGAACGCTTCCTGAATGTCCCTATAGTATACATTATAAGGGTACCTTTGTTGATGTTATCCAAATACAGATGTAATGGATTACAGAAGATGGTTGAATGTAAAGTTAGGTTAGAGAACTTCTAAAGTACCTACGAATTGAATCTAAATATTTTGTGATTATTGTGACTTTACCATTCACGGGACCACAGGGTCCCGGT